GTCCCATGAGGTAGCCCGCAATCACACTCTCCATCATCCTCGTTGCGACATCATGTGGGATTTGGTCAGGCCTAAATCCGGCGTTGAGGAAAAGGTCGGCCTGCTCACGCGTAACGCCAACTTTCGATGCAAGGATCTCCATCGTCGGCGCGCGTAGCAGGTTGGCAAGGGGGCTTCCAAGCGGGGGGGTAAGTGTGACCCCACCCGCGGTAGCCGGGCTGGATCGGCCGCTACCGCTACCGCTAACGCTACCACCACCACTACCGAAACCGACCACGCCGCCGATGTTAGCGGGGCTCGATCGGCCGCTCCCACTACCAGACGGAGTGAACCCAGGCATGCGTCCCCTGCTGTCAATAACGCCACTCATCCGGCGCTCGTCGCTGGCGTGAGCTTCTCCGAAGGATGTCGCCGCTGCTCCCGGTCCGCACCGGCTATTGCCCATGTCAATGGCTGATTGCCCAAGCAAGTTGTGACCCGCCTTCCTCGCCTTTTCCTGCTGACTGTCTGCCCTCTCCCCGGTCCTGGCGTCTAGCACGGATTGCACAAGCTTCTCCTGCGAAAAAGGAGCAAAATTGGCAGACATAAAAAAGCGCGGCAAGACCAGCAGCAACTGTCATGTCTCCAGTTACTCCATTTGCACATTCCCGCGTTTGCTACAGACCTTGCTTGACTTCTAGCATGTATTTTGCGAACGCATACAGCTGAACGCGCTCGTCATACAGGCAGCGCGCTACCCCGAATGATCGTTGTCAACAAAACGCTGATACGACGACTATAGGTGTATCACAGCAGGCGAACAAATCCGCGTAATCAAACCGATTAGCTTCTCACCAGCTCGGCTTCGTCGCCCTCGAGGTCGTCGGCGGAGGTATTCCCTGCTCCGGATGCTTTTGCCGCCTCCTCGTTCTTCTTCGCTTGAGCGCGAATGTGCGAGTCGAAGCGCGACTTCAAATGCTTGACCGTCTTGCTGCCGAACACTCTCACATATGGCTCCTTGCTCAAGTCCTCGACGACTAATGCCCACCTGTCTTCAACCCTGTCGGTCAGGCCAGCCACTCGCCAGGTCTTGTGCTTGATAGCTGCCGCGACAGAGAATAGTGTTAACAAGCACGAATAATATGCGAATTTGTTGGTGAAGAGCCCACGGGGCCGGAGTCTTTTTCGGGAGAGATACCTAGCACCTCTCCTAACAAACCTACCCAGACGGATGCAAATGTGGTAAGTGGAATAGCAGGCACATTTGGGCGCACGGGTGGAATAGAACTTTGGATGTTGTAACGTTTTCGCCACACCTTCCTGTGCCACGCCAACCACTGCTGTACATACCTCCAGAGCTGCCCGCTCGTTACACTACTGTACGGGAACAGCAGTCCGGTGGTAAGATACACAATTCCTGTTCTATTCCTGTTCTAAGCCCCCCATTCAAACAAGTGCATCGGGTCCACTGCTGTGCAGGAGTAGAGACGCAGGCGGGAGGGAGCCTAGCCATCTTGGCACCGGCTGTTGCGGCGAAACAGGAAATTTGAAATTTGAAAAAAGTAGGACACCGATCATCGACAACATGCGTGTGGTCTTCCTTGCTTCTGCTGGTGACCGTCAGATGTTCTTCGCAACCGCGCTCTGCTTACTCAAGGCATGTTCTCTCCACATCGCCTTCAACTGCCGCCCTACACACAACACCAAACGCGCCGCGGAACATCATGATCTCGTACAGATAGACTGGTGTGGTACTCCCGCTGCAATCCACACTTCAACAAAGGCATGTGCGCCGTGCTGTGTTATCCACCAACAACAGCCCACTACCTAACCCTAAGCCGAGTCTTCGGACCGAATGCCCGCAGGTCCTACTTACAAAGCACGGATGCTATGTAGGAACTCTACCACAATAGGTGTCACCATGATGATGAGCGATCATGATGCATGGTGTTCGGTGGTAACGTGTGCATATATGTACGTGCCAGCTGTGCACGCATAGTCTAGTCTACAACCAATCGTCTTCCCTCCATTTGTCTGATGGTCGCACAAACTCACCGTGTTTCATCAGCGTCAAGTCCGACCACATGCTCCACTTCGGGGAGACTCTCTTCTTCTTCTTGCCCGCGGAAGCCGCACTCGATGGGTTGGCCACAGCTACCACCTCAGCGTCGGAGTCCTCCTCCTGCACCGGAGTCTCTTCTCCACCCAAGCTCATCACCTTTTGCGCGTGCCCATCGCCTGCCGCCCTGAAGGACGTGCGCGAAGAGTTATCTGCCTCCCTACGCGCCGCGGTCTGGCGGGAAGCCTCAAGGGCCAAGACCTTTTCCGTGGGGGTGACCACCCTCGAGCTCTGACGGGAAGCCATGCTTGCTTGTGTAAGCTCTCTAAAATCTGAAGGGTGATTTTCGATTTAGGAAAAGGCGGTGCCGGGCCGCTGTTTTCCTAAATCTGAGAGCCCCCTTTCAGATTTAGGAGCTCGATGTTCCCCCGCTTTGAGGAACGTTCCCAGAAATTGACCCTTCCACCTAAATCGAGAACTTGCATCTAAATCGAAAAGCGTCAAAACGTGTTCCGAAACTCCCCAATAATATCGATTGAATAAGCCAAATGAATCACGACAGTTTCCGTAGCAAATCGAACACATCGAAAGAAACTCATTGTCCGCAGCAGGCCAGAACCTGCCCAATAGCACATCGAACAACGATCGGATCTCTTTACTGCTGCATGCACCAGGTAGTACTCGAAAACGTGTTGTCTAATCACCCCGGAAAATGTTCGTTTGTGCGGCTTTACTACGACGAAACAATCAAAACACACATACCATCAAGAACGGTGGCTGGTGTCAATTTCACTCGAGAATTACGGCATGTGGCCTTCCTGCGCCCGGTACACCGCAGCGGTCGTCCACCCGCCCGTGTTGCTGTTCCGCCAACGCCGTACCGAGAGACATCTCGATCCCTTCGCGATCAAATTCAAATCCAACCTAGCGCCGCGGAGGAAAATCAGTGGCTGCAGGACGCGACGCCCAGTATTACAAAGAAGGCATCAAGGGGGTTCTAGGCGTACAACAGTGGTCTTTAGCCTCACTTCTTTGTGCCCTGGGCTGCGGGAGGCGCGTCCCCGGAAAACCAAAACGCCAAAGCACAACACGGCACTACACATTCGACACACACGGCACAGCAGTAGAAATTAGCAACACAGCAGGCAACCCATACAAATACACAAGAGCATGCTGCTGGGCTGCATCATCACTACTACTACTACTAGAGAGGGTTACTACCAAGCACCACCACGGCTTGCCAGCCAGCACCAATAGTTGCGTATTTCTACAGCAGCAGCAGTTCCTAACAGCTACCTGTGTGTCTGTGCTCCCGTTAGGAACCGCAGAGCAGCGTCGATCTACCCTCTCCTCCACCCATGGGCATCAACAGGTACAACCACACAAAATAGGCGCACACGTTACATAAGGCATCGTCATCACACCAGTTAGTTGCTGCACGTATCTCTCTCTGCCTCTCTCTCTTTGTGCTCGATTTCACCCACAGCCTCTCTCGACTGCTCAAAATTGCTGCTGGGGCACGGAACAACAGCTGCATACCCTCTATCTACAAATTCTTAAACCACAGGGGGGGGGGGGGGGTGCGACACCTCCGGACATATATCTGGCTTAGCCTCACTTCTTTGTGCCCTGGGCTGCGGGAGGCGCGTCCCCGGAAAACCAAAACGCCAAAGCACAACACGGCACTACACATTCGACACACACGGCACAGCAGTAGAAATTAGCAACACAGCAGGCAACCCATACAAATACACAAGAGCATGCTGCTGGGCTGCATCATGTCTACTACTACTACTAGAGAGGGTTACTACCAAGCACCACCACGGCTTGCCAGCCAGCACCAATAGTTGTGTATTACTACAGCAGCAGCAGTTCCTAGCAGCTACCTGTGTGTCTGTGCTCCCGTTAGGAACCGCAGAGCAGCGTCGATCTACCCTCTCCTCCACCCATGGGCATCAACAGGTACAACCACACAACATAGGCGCACACGTTACATAAGGCATCGTCATCACACCAGTTAGTTGCCGCACGTATCTCTCTCTGCCTCTCTCTCTCTTTGTGCTCGATTTCACCCACAGCCTCTCTCGACTGCTCAAAATTGCTGCTGGGGCACGGAACAACAGCTACATACCCTGTATCTACAAATTCGTAAATCACAGGGGGCGGGGGGGGTTGCGACACCTCCGGACATATATCTGGTAGATATCTGGTAGCCTCACTTCTTTGTGCCCTGGGCTGCGGGAGGCGCGTCCCCGGAAAACCAAAACGCAAAACTACTTCACACCAGCATTCAGTACATCCAGCAGGCACAGCACTAAGTCTTGCATAGAAACATTGAAACGCAGCAGGTGACCCATCTGTTGCTGCTGGGCTGCATGTCTGCTACTGTAACTAGCGCAGACGATTGCTATGCCATGAGCTATACAGCAGTACCACGTGGTTGCCCGCGTAGCAACCACTCTATAGCGTTCGTAGCAGCTCTCAACTGCTGTGCTCCTTCTCGGTTACGAACCGCAGAGCAGCGTCGATGTACAACCGCCTCCTCCATGGAGGAGCAACCGTGTGCATCAACAGGTACAACCACACATCATGCGCGCACGCATCACATACTGAATCGTCATCACAGCAGTTGCTGTACGTCTCTCTTCGCTCGTACTCCTTCTCTGTCTCTCTGTCTTGTGCTCGAATTCACCACGCTGACTCTCCACAAACAGTTAACTGCTGCTGGGGCACGGGACAACTGCACAGTTAACTGCTGCTGGGGCACGGGACAACTGCATACTACCATAAGCGCCCAGCGTGGGTCGAGGTTGAGCTTACGACCGGCAAGGGGAGGGAGAGCACTGTCAAAATACAGCCCTTCGAGGACAAAATGGTATGGGTGCCCTACTGCAGAGGGGTAGCGGTCAGCGGCACGTACATCGTTAAGCAGTGGCCTTTCATGGTCGCTGCTTGCATGACCGTACACAGAGTGCAAGGGGTAGGGTTCGAAAGGGTGGCCGTGTGGATTCCCTCTAGAGGGTTCTTCGCCCAGGGTCAGGGGTATACCGCCGTGTCCAGGGGGAAAACTCTAGACGGCCTGTTCCTCGTGTTACCAGACGATGTCTTGCAGGACAGAGAGTTAGTCGTGTGCATCAACAGGTACAACCACACATCATGCGCGCACGCATCACATACTGAATCGTCATCACAGCAGTTGCTGTACGTCTCTCTTCGCTCGTACTCCTTCTCTGTCTCTCTGTCTTGTGCTCGAATTCACCACGCTGACTCTCCACAAACTGCTGCTGGGGCACGGGACAACTGCATACTACCATAAGCGCCCAGCATGGGTCGAGTTTGAGCTTACGACCGGCAAGGGGAGGGAGAGCACTGTCAAAATACAGCCCTTCGAGGACAAAATGGTATGGGTGCCCTACTGCAGAGGGGTAGCGGTCAGCGGCACGTACATCGTTAAGCAGTGGCCTTTCATGGTCGCTGCTTGCATGACCGTACACAGAGTGCAAGGGGTAGGGTTCGAAAGGGTGGCCGTGTGGATTCCCTCTAGAGGGTTCTTCGCCCAGGGTCAGGGGTATACCGCCGTGTCCAGGGGGAAAACTCTAGACGGCCTGTTCCTCGTGTTACCAGACGATGTCTTGCAGGACAGAGAGTTAGCAAGAGAGTTCCTCAAGGAGGCGTTCCAACCGCCCATCGATGCCATCAACGCTCTAGCCGACATGCGACAAAAGGCACCGGCCACTGTTACGGTTAACGTGAGGGGTAGGGGAGTTGCGTACGCTACGCTGTGGGACGAAAGACGGTCATACTACGCCCCAGACGGGTGGGCGGGTGTGTGGCCTGGAGTTCTGTACAACGGTTTAGGTGGGGCAACACGTGTCGAGGGGGAGTATGCACTTGCTGAACGGTCGAACAATTATTCACCTTGTGCAATAGAAGGAGAGGAGAGGCACACCGTTGTGTGATGAAGCACATAATAAGGAACTCCTCGAAAGGGGGAACATGACGCTGCTGCGGACAAACTGCCTTTGAGTACATGCGAGCAACACGGCACTCCTGTGACGCACACTGCACGACGCTCGGAACCCCGTTAAGTGCCTTCGAGCGAAGCGAGTCACACAACACTGTGACCGCACACTGCACCGCGCCCGAAACCTCGCCAATTGCCTTCGAGCGAAGCGAGTCACACGGCACTGTAACCGCACACTGCACCGCGTCCGGAACCCCGTGAAGTGTGTCTGCGAGCGAAGCGAGTTACGATGCCACTTTGTCTTACTCCAAAACCATTACACAAACAACAACACACCAAACCAGGCTATGAATTTTTGAGCCTGTTACCCGCAGGGGAGATGTCCCTATATGCTGTCTGGGAAATCGTAGACATACAGGTAGTTTTCTCTGACGCTATGATTCCATTGTTGATCTGTCTATGACTCTTTTCTATGATAGAGATGGACTATTTGTGTCATATTAAGAAAAATAAAAAAAAATAAAACATCTGTGCACAGCAGTCTTAGAGCCACGGTGAATAAAAGAGCGTGACCTGGAATGGACTGAGGTGGAAAAAATCTCAGGGGTTCTGGAAAAACACCACGAGTGTACCCGTTCTCATTGTCGAGGCATGCCTCTTTGTTCCAGGGGGGTGCAACACAGGTGACACCGATCAAGACCGGCAGAGGAATGCGGTTATGCGCATGTTTAAGAGATGAAAGTTAGGGTTCCTACGTGTCGATACGGAAGAACAGCTTCATGAGGGAGGGAGGCAGCTGTTGCATTGCCCTTGCTCCTGTCGCATATGCTGTAGGATAGTTCCTATCAGCCAAACACGTGTCACCTTCAACCACCACTGCGCATTTGTCCACGCCTAACCGCCCAACATAATTTGTGCTGTCAAAGGTCAACCATGTGTCGCCAAGTGCTTTTCGCGCCGAATGTTTTCAGCGAACCCTTCTTCTACAGCACGTGCATCCCTTTCTGCGGAGTCACATGACAAGTGCCAACCAAAAGGGCGTGGCAACAGGGACACTCACTGCAACGATGACGCGATGTCTGAAAGAAGGGTAGAAACAGGTACCCATGGGCTTAAGCTGTTTTGCAAAAGGAGATGGAGGATCTTCGGCGAAAGGCTACGGAGTGTTGCAGGACAGGACCCATATCGCGTTTTACGGATCTCACTCGTGGGGATATCACAAAGCATGGCGTCTCTCTCTATACCTTGTAGGCATAGGCATTGCGAGACTCGCGTGTTCTTTCGATAGTTCTACCATCTTTTCGACACTTCCTGAAGGAGGTTTCAACGACAAACAAAACGCAATATCGGCGAAATGCAATCTCGCGCTCTCTGAGTGCGCAAGTGAACTGCTTTCTACGGATATTTCTCGCCCAGTTCTCGAACTTCCATAACGAAATGTCTACCATTGCGATACACTTTTATGTGCATCGTTGAAGCCGAGCAATGGTCCAATGCAAGCTGCATGCTCGTCACGTTCGTTGCCCTCCACTTTCTCAACGCACGATGACCGCATCGTGGGGAATAACACATTCCACCAATCGGGCCCAAACACGGGTAAACCTTCGTCACCACGTTGGAAGCGCTGATCTTGGAAACCACCTCAAGACACCAAGATCGGGACTCTGGAGCATCCTTACTTCTTATCGGAACGACAACTTTTGAAGGTTGCTCGTCATGTTGCGCATGCTGTTTTCCATCTTTGACGCGATCTCTCTGTCAAATTTCAGAACGACGCGAACGGAACCAAGAAATCATGGGGTGAACACTACAGTAGGGCTGTGGTGGCTGCATAAATGACAAGGCTGAACAGCAACAGCCTGGTACGACTCAATTGTTAGCCAGTGTCGGATGTTGTCGCGGAATTCCTGGCGACCAAGTTCGCTAGCTTTTGATCAACCGTGAATCGTTGCAATGTTGCTAAACAGAGTTGCGAAGGACGCTGTGGACTCGGCATGGCTGCATGGAATGTCTGGGTAAACGATACCTGTAGATGTACTGCTATGGGGCAAAATCTCGGGAGATTATCACACTTTCCTGCTTCCCCATCTCGGGGGCATCTGCTTTCTCAATGCCACACAATTCACTAAGGTATGAAATTATTTCTGTGTGCCACGGGTTTGGAAGCAAGACCCCGTGTGCATGGATGGGTGGGTCAGCATAACCTATGGCTTACTAGTCCATATACGCCCCATGTTTCTCGTCTGTGGGGCCTCTGCATCATGTACCATGTCCTCTATCTAGGCCATGCTTTGGTAGCATGACCCCCTCGTCCCGCCATGCTTTGGTGATCGGCAGCGAGTCAACGGCCTTCAATTCTACATGGCCAAGTCTTCCGTTTTTGGTCCAGAGAACCATACCTCGTGTTGCTCTCAAAGGCCGCGCCCAGTGGGCCTGATTCCGGTACTGCGACAAGAGGGACGCCGGCAGGTTCACCCCGCGTCGTCGTGTTCGTTGCCTGTGCATCATCCATGCCCAGCGTGTCTAGAATCATCTGTTGATCTGCCTTGCGCATGCCTTTGAGAGTCATGATAGCCTGTGCGAAAGACGATAATCCAAGCCACCGTCCACAGACAGCAGGGTGAGGTGGAACGATGAATACAGAGGTGAATTTGGGAGGACGAAGACAAGGCAGTCTATCTGCGAGGCGAAATTCTATTCCGCGCCGAGCTCAGTGGATGTCGGTCCCGGATCAAACCCACCATGCGGTCGACTCCGTTTCCCTACACACTAATTCGTGACAAGCTCCGGAAGTTGTACATTGAACAAATGTAAGGGTATGCGTTCGTCTCACCTGCAAGTCTGGGGCACCTCCATCTGGCCACATGATCTGGAATCTCTCCACCAGCATGGCTTGCGGCGTCCCCACCAGTTTCAGCACTTACAAACGACGAGGGCGGGGTGATGGTGTGGTGGCCACGCAAGATCTGACAGTATCCGAGAAACGCGTTGGATCAAATTACTCCAAAAACGATCAACTTTGCAGGATGTTCGTAGATTGCTCACCCATCTCAATCTTGGACATGTGCTTCGTGACGTATTTGGTGTAGCTGACAGGGACAGGAGTACTCTGCATCTGGTCTAACCCTGCAAACGCACAAGTTGACGACGGCATCAAGCTGTAGCGTGAAGAGGTGCGCAAACGTGAAAAAATACATAATGATGGACACATGCTTGGGAGCGCCTGAGACGTGATGACGGGCAGACAAGCGCACATTCCGGGTGCTTGCGGGCGCTGGCTGAACATGCCAAAAAAACAACGGCTTCCCCAAAGTGAGAACAAGCGTTTGGCAATTCTTCGTAAAAATCGCACACTGAGGTTGGGACGCTTGAGGGGAGAAAGCATAACAATCATTAACGCGGGATGCAATACTTTTTAGGCACTGCTTTTGCACGGCGGAGGAGGCAGGAGAAGCGATCACACCAACTCACCCAGCGATGGCACCTTCAGCATCAAGGTCTTGAGGTTGTAGACATCCAGCAAAAGCTGCTGAGTGCCCATCTCGTTTACCCGGCGTTGCCGCAGAATAAGGCTTAAAAACGACGGCAGGAAAGATGTGACCAT